ACACGAACACACACTCAAAAAAAGATAAACATTAACACACACTCAGAAAAAATCGAAATCTGATGTTCATCATCTTCAACCTCTTCATCGTCTTCAACCCAGATCTAACATCGGATCTGAAATCAAATTATCTCCAAGAACAAATAAGAAATTGATTTTGTGTGTTTTGGGTTCCTTGAAGATGGTTTTCCAAAATCGAGCTTGAAGATGAGCTCGAGTTAGGGTTTTCAAACCCAGAAATCGAGTTTGAAGATATGGGTTTGTGTTTTGATCTAGGTTTGTTTTTTGATATGGTCCGTGTTTTTCGTGTTCTGATCTAACAAACACACTCAAATCTGAAGCCCTTGTGTTCTTCGTTTTCTTTGTGTTCTTCGTTTTCTTTGTGTTCTTCATGTTCTTCGTGTTCTTCATGTTCTTCGTATTCTTGGTGTTCTGATCTAACACACACATGATGAACAACTGATGAATCAGATAAAGATCTCAAGAACACGATGAACAAACACATCAGAAGATCTTATGTGAGTTCTTGAGTTTGAATAGAAGAAGATGAAGAGTTGATTTTTGAGTTTGAGTTCTTGAGTCTGAAAATCTAACACCCATATGGGTTTATGTTCAAAATTTGTTCAGATCTAAGAAAGAGACGGGAGATAATAGACACGAGTTCTTGAGTTCACAGGAAAAATCATGAAAGTCGGAGTCTTGCCGGAGAAGATAACCGGAGCATCGTCGGAGTTGTCAAACACGCCGGAAACCGGCTAAACCTACGATTGAAGGTCATAAGGATGTTTTTTAAACGGTTCAACAAGTTCAATGGGGAAATATGTACAAAAAAAACTCAGTGACTAAATATGTACGAATCGAAAAATAAGTTACCCTTTTAAGTCATTATCCAATTTCATTAATTTTCAATTTTTTTTAGGAAATAAGACATAAGTGAAAACAAGTGGAAAAAAACGAGAAAGAATAGTATTTGCGGGATGAGGATCTGGACGCGTAGATTGGACTTTTTTTTTTGGACTATTGGGCCGATTTTCGGTTCCAAGAATTGATCAAAATTGATCTCGTCGGTTCCAGGTAAAAACCGATTTTAGATTGCATTATTAAAAAAAATTCAAATCTTTTAGATAAACATATCTTATTCGTTTTAAGTCAGATTGTCATAAGGTTCTTTCCTGCTTGTAATTTAGAGTTTGTGATTTTAGACTACAATTTTGTCATTTTGTGGTGTTATATTCAATAAATTATAATCATTTAAAGTTGAGATATCAAAACTAAAAATTTTCAGTTTTTTAGCTATTTCTTTAGACTTTTGTATTCTGTGAAAATCTTTAAACATGTACATTTCATTCGTTTTAAGTTGGTATGGCATGCAGTTCTTCCCATTATGGGGTGTTTACGGTCTGGTTTTTACGGTTTTTAGGTCAAACCAAAGCCAAACCATTAGTAACGTTTTTTGTCAATCGAAAACTGAAGTCGAACCATTGAAAATTAAAATCGAACCCAACTGAACCGTTACTAACGATTTGGCTTCGGTTTGGTTTCATGGTTTGAGTTTTTTAGGCTCGTTTGAGTCGAGCCAATTAAATTAATTTTGAAAAAAAACAAAACTGCAAAATTAAATCTATCAAAACAATGAAAATAATATGTTTTTAACGGATTTATATATTTGATTTTGACTCTAGTTACAACTTATTGGAGTGGAGGAACCGATGAGCTTCACAAAAAAGGATTAAAGGATTGGTGTAGGTAATCTACTAAGTTTGGTTTATAAGACATTAGTTATTAAGTTAGTTGGTTTTAAATTTCTATTACTTATATACAAAAATTTATATATATATATATATATATATATATATATATATATATATATATATATCATACGGTCCGGTCTAGTTCTATAAACCAAACCGTTCACTACGGTTTCGAAAATTTGGAGGTTCAAGCTAAACCGTAAAGAGAAAAAACCGCGAAATCAAATTGATGTCCGGTTTCACCGTTTCAGACCGAACTATGAACACCTCTGCTTTCCATCGTGTAATTTAGAGTTTGTACATGATTTTGGACTATAATTTTGGCGTTTTTAGTGTTATATTTAACAAATTACAATCCTTCAAAGTTGGGATATAAAAGCTAAAAGTTTTCAGTTTTTTAGCTATTTTTTTAGACTATTGTATTCTATAAAAATCTTTAAACATGTATACCTCATTCGTTTAGGTCAGATTGACATGCGGTTTTTCCATTATGTAATTTAGAGTTTGAACATGATTTTAGACTCAAATCGGTCCAGACCTAGAACCGGTAAGCCTTAAACCATGTCCAAGATCCATAAAATTCTCCGAAATCGGTCCAATCCAAATGATTACCCCTAGTATTTAGGGACGAGCATATGACAAAATCGGCCCAGGAATTTCAAATATCTAAATGGGTGGAAAAAAACGATACAGGGTATTGAATCGAACTAATATTACTGATATTGGTTTTCGGTACTAGCATCGGTACTGACGGTTTTGAATCTCAAATTTCATGATTTTAGAATACCGAGAAACGTCGTGTTTGTTTAAATTTGGTACCGGTATGGGTACAAGAGCAAAAATTTGGTACTAGGTATTCATCCCTAATAGTATTCTCAGCTTCCTTTGAAAATGACCAAAAAATACATAGCTCCAATCGTGATTTTCTCCGCCTTTCTCACGTACGTTGTGTTCTTTATATCAAGCAACTCTATTCTCTTTCTTATTTTTTTTCCAAATTCGGGAACATGAAAATAGATTTTGTATGTATGTATTTAAACTTGGGAACACAATGTAAACTCTCCAAACTTTTGTTGATGAAAAAGTGTGACAAAAAGGAACAAATTTGTTGGAAACTTTGAAAAATCGGATTTTGACATGCTAATATGCTTTTTTCAGGTCAACCATTTGTAGCAATTTCTTTTTAAATAAAACTTTAAGGTTTTCTTTAAACAATAAACTATTACTTTTTATAATTTTTAATATTTTATACTGATATTGTTTTATTTTAATTTTATTTTCGTATTGTAATATTTTATTTATATTTATGTAACATAATATTATTATTTTAATTAAATCATATTATCTTATTGTTTTTGTTATAATCTTATAATAAAAATTTGTTTTTATAATCTTATAATAAAATTACAATAATTTTAGAGTACATTCTACATAAGATTATTTTAATTAAATCATATTGTCTTATTGTTTTTCTTATAATCTTATAATAAAATTACAATAATTTTATATTACTTTTTTCGTCTGATCTAGATAAATCTACATCATATGTGGATTATTTTCTTGATTTTTTTTGTAGTTTTATAGTATTTTCTATGTCTACTATATATAATCGAGGCCGAACATATAACATAAAATATTATTTTACTATATTCTTATTTGTAATATTATTGTATTCTTATTATAATATTATCATTTTTTTTTGTCCAATCCAAATAATATAGATTAAAGAGAGAGTGTTATTTATTATAGTCTAATTGCATTCTCTCACCAAATGGCTTCTAGCCTCGCGGGATCAGGTGTTGCATTCTCTCCTTAAAGTTAAGGATTCAAGCCTCGTTTGAAACATATGTGGTATTAGGAGTAGTTTAATAGAAGTAGGTTAGATTTGTCGTTCCAAAAAAAAAAAAATACATTCTCTCTATATTTTTACTGTAATGTTATTGCATTTCTACTATAATTTTATTGTATTTTTTGTTTGATCAAGAAAATCTAGATCGAAAGTATTATTTTACTATAATATTATTGTATATGTTTTGTTAGAGCAAAATAATACTATTGCTTTTATTTGTCTGGTCCCATCTAGACAGTGAGTATTATCTTATTATATTATTATATTCTCTCTTTTATTTTCAACAAAGCTACTAAAAAATCATTTTATTTGAAAAAAACCTTTACATTTATATTTTTTTAGCGGCTAAAATCTCAAATGTATAAAGAGTCATCAGTTTTTGTACTTTTTTGTTCAAAATGGATCATGGCTTTTTCATCAATAATGCTAAAGTTTTGGGAGGAGCTTTACTGGAGCTTTCATTTTTAGGGGCCCTAGTACCTGTAATAAAAGTGGCATGTGATAATAATATTTTGCATGGCATTTATCTCCTCTCATGTATGACAATGATGTGACGTTCATTGATGAATGGTCCCCCGATAAACATGTTCAATCTCAATCGGCTACTTAGAAGCTTCAACTTAACATCCGGTTTAAAGGTCGTCCTTCATAAAAGCAATGTATATAGTATCGGTGTCGATTCCTCGAAGATCACCAGACTTGCTTGCATTGTTAGATGTGAGCCTGCTTTGTTCCGTTTAGTTATTTTGGAGTCCATAAGCTTTTTATGCCCTTGAGTTTGTTTAAAATTTCTTAATCAATCAATGAATTAAGGTTGAAGATCACTCATTGATTGCCGTGGTTTGGGGTTAGAAAAGGCCAATGCGAGCAGGAATGGAAGCTAGATTATTGGATGATTTGTCACAACTCTCACATGGTGTTTTTTTTATCGGGTTTAAGTGATTAAGGGAAATGAATAATTGATCCTTATGGGCATTCGGTCAAATCTCTTAGGCGTTTCCAACGACCAACCCATCTTAGAGTAACTTTATTTTTGGTGTAAAAGACCAACATTAAGCATCTCCAACCCAACTCTAACTTTTACATCAAAAATCGAGTTATAAATATTATTTTAAATTTGGAGCAATAGTATTTATTCCCACTATAAATAGAGTTTAAGTTGGTGGTTCTCATGGAAAAATCAAGTTTCAGAGTTATCCAAGGGTTTTAAACCAAGTTTTGATGGAAAAATCAAATTTATTTATTTATATAATTCTTATTGATTCATTTCCAGAGACCATATTATTTTGTCCCTACATGATAAAGACATGAGGATCTATAAATGAGGTCAAAAGTTCAAAGTTAAACATTACCTTCTTTAAAACCATATTATTAATTTTAATTGTTATTTTAAAACCATCTTATTAATTTTAATTGTTTTTTATTAACATCAGTCAAACTAGCAAAACAAAACCTCCTAATCCAAATAACAACAAACACAAAACCCAAACCATTTTGGAAATCAGGATCTTTGTTACTTGTGCACAGTGTAAACACCACCTCTTTTTATTAACTTCCACAATGCTGCTTTGGCTTCCACCACTGTTTTAACCCCTTGCCATTCTTCAAATACCAACCTCTGTATGTTAAACTGCAAAGACACAAAGACAAAGATAAGCATCACGGATTCCAACGGAATCCAAAGGAATTGGAATGTACATTCCATTCCACGAGTTGTTTACTTAGCAAATGAACGGAACTAAATTCCGTCTGAATGCCAGACAGATTCCATTCCTACCTGTGCACCTTGACGAACACGAATATCTGTCCCCTTGCTATCAATCGATATCAAAGAAACATCATCCACCTCACTCTCCAATGACAGTAACTCTCTCAAGGGCTTGGAAAACATTACATTCAGCTCCTGTCACCATCATTGATTCATTTCAGATATAAATATAAAAACAATGATTATAGAAATAAAAAACTTTACTTTCAAGTTCTGTTCACTGCCATCAACAGCAATATCATCAGGTTGAAGACCCTCATATTCCTTCACATTAACCCAAGCAACTGTCCCAAAACCTCCAATAAAGTATATATCTCTGTTTCAAAATTCAAAAAAAGGGATAATGTCAGCCAATGGTTGACTGGTTTGACCGCTACCATGCTGACATGGCAGACACGAAATAATCTTATCTTATTTGTAATAAACAAACCTTATATTCTGCATCCTAAAGTAGTAGAAGTTTCCCCACTGTTGCAAAGGTGCTTGTTGGTGTTTTGTTATATACTGCTTATGTGCCCATTCCTGCAGTAAATAACAACAATTCATAGATAAGATAACAGTAAAAAAGTTGATAAATTTGACAAAGAATAATGATTAATCACCTGCTGATCTTCCGGAAGGGGGAAAACATCACCGAAAATTGTAACCCTAGCATTTGACAAGCCACTCCATCCAGGAATCTACAAAGAGAACCACTAGTAAAAGCTATATTTGCACAAGTAATACAAGATTATAAAAGTTTATTAACATGTGCAACTGCAACAAAAGAATACTAACCTGAACCACTAATGTACACCTTGGATTGGCTAATAGATTCCGTGTGTGCATACCCAACTGTGAGAAAGAAAATATTGGATCTAAAAGTCCAACATGAAAAGACATGTCAGAATCAGAACATACAGAACATAATTCATATGGTGGAAAAATATCTAATAGGAATTGATGAATAATTGAATATTAATCATCAAACACTCACGTCCCATTGCATCTGATACAAAATCCACCAGTGAACCAAATGGGTATCCTTCACTTTGTTGGTGCATACGTGACATTACAGTAGACATGTGAGCAAACCTAGCCTTGAATGGTATATATATAATATGGTGAAAAACATCAGAACTGAACTTTGAAGTCAAACATGTGATAATAAGTCAACGTATGTGGTTATATACCTGTTCCATCAGATTGCGGACTGCTAAAGGTGGTCTAGGTAAGTCATGAACACAGGTTGCACTCTGCACTCCCCCAGATATTGGGGTTCTGAAAAGGCTAGCTCTTTTGTCTGTACGAGATGAGGCAACATCTGAATTCTTATTCAACTCCTCTTTGCTATAAGTTTCACTTGAAGCACCCTTCATAATATGAAATATTTCATCATAAGTTCATAACATAGCTCAATTAGTCATTTGACAAACTACATTACATCAGATTTTGTGATGTTTTCCTTGATTTATGCTTCTCATATGTTCACTCGTTGTTTGAATTGCTTAATTCACAAAACAAAAAGATAATAGGGATACTATTCACTTTTGCATGCAGCAACAGTCACTTTGAGGAGTTGGACAAAGCCCTAAATTTGCACTGTGCCTGGTTTCTTTAGAGGAATAGTCTTAGATTTTGTTCATTTTAAGTTAGTTCTTGATAATTATGATCTTCGAAGCTCAAATTTGGCAATTATGACCTTAAGAAGTCAAATTACTCGTCGATTGTAGATGAAGTCCGTATCAGATGAGCATCTACACCAGTAAGTTAAAAATAAAACACGGGATGCGTGACATGCAAATACCAGTTGAGGTTTTCTACAGATACCAATCTGCTACAAGTGAATAGAAAAAGCAGAGAAAGCAAACATAAGCTGTACCGAATAGGAAGAAGATGAAGCTTCTTGAGGAACAAAATCAAATACATTATGAAAAGGTATCTGTTGATCATCTTCGCCGTCAGCTGAAAGTTGACGAGAAGCAGCGGCGACAAGCGTAGTTTTAGGCGAAGCTAAGCTAATTCGGAGAGAAGCAGCAGGCTGAATGGAATGTGAGTCTGGAAAAGTAGGAAGGAATACAGAGGCTGAAAGAGCTTCCATTGTTCGATTGTGATGAATAGGGATTTTGAGAGAGGAATCCGGCAGCCGCGAAAAGATAGTGAAATTGCAAAAAGCTTGGCCTTTCGGCGTTATAATTATTAAATACATTAGGAAAAATATATAATCCGTATCTGATAAATGAATTTTTTTTTTTCCCACTTGTCAATCTATCATGAGTTTGATATTTGTCATTTTGTGGTATTTTTGAAATAAATATTACTCACTTGTCAATTTCTGATTTATTTCAATTTTTAAAATTAAAGTCACATATTTATATATCTAAGGTATTAAATATAGTATATATGAAATTAAATTGCAATTAATATGTTTCTTCCTTTCTTATTTTAAAGTTTTATATTAAAAAATGTTTACTGCTTACATTTTAATGTTTAGTTTTTTAAAAAAATTAACCCTATAATATACGGGTCTCACACCTAGTAAGCAATATATTATCATGTTTTATGTATTTATTAAAAAAAATTCTATTGATTTACCGATCAACTAGTTTATAATTCGTGGTAAAAATTAATTAAATTTTTATAGTAAAATTTTATAGTTATTAAAGTGTTTTTGGGATTACTTTTTAGCTTCAAAAGTCTTTTTTGTAAAATGACTTTTTATAAAATGAGTTTTTTATAATGTGTTTGGATTAGCTTTTGATGGGCAAAAGTCAAAAGTTATTTTTAAAAAGTGTGGTTTAACTTTTACATGTAAAATGACTAAAAATGACATGTTTACATATTTACAATGATTTACTATTTACATATATTATTTTATACTTAACAATTTTTTTTAAACAGATATTATAATTTTGTAAATATTTTATTAGAAAATATAAAACATAAATTTATTTTAAAATATATTTAATTTTTTTATTAGACTGTGATAATATTAAAATTACGTTCATACAAATTGTAAATAATTCATAAAAAATATCATAGATAATATTACATTCATCTTCACAATGTGATTATATCTTGTGCAATAATATCTCATGTCGCTGCCATATACGAATCATCATCACTCGTGCGACGTGTACTTGGACCTTCTTCGTAAACTTCACTACTAGTACCACCTCGTACGGGATTGTAGGATTCTTGTGCCCTATTAAACGCTTCATCAAACCTACCAACCTTTCTAATGTAGTTATGGATCGCCATCGATGATATCACAATTCTCACTTGGTTCTTGTACTTGTAATTAATATGCATGTCTCTTAATAACGCCCACCTAGCTTTCCACACTCCAAAAGTTCGTTCAATGATATTTCGCAATGATGAGTGGAGATAGTTAATTTCTCTTTCGGTCCGCGAGGTTCACGAATAGCAGTCGTGTGTCCACGTCAAAAATCTGGTAAATGATAACGAATATTTGTGCCTTTGTATGGAGCAAGATACCCTCTGGTATTTGGATATCCGACATCAACAGCGTAATATTTATCTGTAAATAAAACAAATATTTATTATTCGTTTCAAACATGTAGTAAAGACATATAACTTGTGTTCCAAAAAAAATATACTAACCACCCGTTGGATATGAAAAATTAAGTTCTGGTCTTTGTAAGGCTTCATTGAAAATTATTGTGTCATGTGCAGTCCCCTCCCAACCGGCCCAAACAAATGTAAAACACATGTTAAAATCAAAAACAGCCATTATATTTTGTGTTGCATGTCCCTTTCGACCAATGTAGTTCGCTTCCTCTTTTTGTGGAACTGATGCCCTAACGTGTGTCCCATCTATAGCACCAATGCAATCCTTCAAATAGGAAACTAGGAAAAATAGGATCATCATCATCTAAATTGATTTCATCACTATCTCCTTTGCCCTCCATGTTTTCTTCGTTTGGATTGCTATTGTTTTGAAATTGTAATGGAGTCATAGTCTGATCTCCAATGGCAACGGAATCCCGAAACAAAATAGCATATTTCTCATCAAATATGCTCAAATATGTGTTCCTAAATTTGGCATAATCTTTATTCTCCTGCAAGACAAAAAGATAATGTAAATCAAATATGCTCAATCTATATGCAATCATAACTTAAAATAATTAAAAAGAAAAGTAAATCATACATTTATTTTCTCCTCCCACCACTCAAGCGATGCATCTATTAGTCTTCTCGTCCCACCGAGTCCGGTTTCAAGCCTCATTAAGTGGTCATAAAGCTTCCACTATTTTTTCATGTTCTCTCATTTGTTTGTTAGTTGTTTTTTTCAAGGTTGTAACATGTTTTATCCTTCATGCGTTTTTGTAAATTCTCCCACCCAATCTTATCAAAGTGAGTACCGGGTCTATGGCCTTTTTTTACTTCAATCACGCACGAATCGACAAACACCATGAAGCTACGATTTTCCCATGCGAATTTTGGTTTTTTCATTTTTAAAGATGTTTCACAATCAACAACATTAATGTGGTTTTCGTCCATTATCTGTGAATTATATAGTATCAACATTTAAACAACATAAATATCAACCTAACATGTAACTGTTTCATCAATTTTATAGAAATAATAAGTTGTAAATCAGAAAAAAAAAATATAACTGTTATATACAATTTTACTAATTTCATCAAATTCATTAACATTTGTAACTAATTTCACCAAGCTTTCACGAATTATAGTTCATCAAAACAGAAAATTGAAAACAACAATCAATTTCTCTCTACATGTTAACACAACACACAACACAGGTACATCAAAACAGAAAATCAACGAGCAACAAAAAAAAATGGCATGAATAAATGGCAGAAGCTTACCTGCAGTTCTTTAGTTAACTAAAAAAAATCGATCGTCACCAAAAAAACGAGCAGCAAAATCGGAATTGAAAAGTAAAGGGATAGAGAGACAATGGCATGTACACAAATGGCATCCAAAACTTAATTACAGAAACAAATCAGACCAATGAGGTGAAACAAATCGAGAGAAGCAAATCGAACCAGGAAAAACCTTAGAACAAACAAAGCAATCGGACCAGAAGCTTACCTTGAACGGAGAAGGGGGTTGGCGACGCCGACAACGGTTGACTGAGGACGACCGCTGGTGGGAAACGGGAGTGGTGCCGATGTCGATGGGAGAAAAACACACAGATCCGTCGATGGGAACGAGGATGTAGAGTGGGTAGCTGTTGAATTAATTAGGTTAGTTGTGAGCGTAGTAATGTAATTTACTTTTGGGTAATTCTAACCGCACGAATTAAATTCCAAATGCACGAATTTTTGATTGACTTGATGTACATCACCGGAAGTTTTGACAGTTTTTAATATATTAAACTAAATCAATGTTTACTTTACAATTTTCATTAAATGCCCTTATATTTATAGTTGATTTTCATATCATACCTTATACTTTTTGAAACTTTAGCTTTTATATATATATATATATATATATATATATATATATATATATATATATATAGGTAAGAGTTATATGGAAAATGAATACAAGAAAGATAGTAGAGAGATTTGATTGTATTTTATTAAAACTATATTGTTTTTAATGGATCTATACCTAATATTAGGTACATAACAGCCACATATTCCTTAAGCCTTATAATTAATGAAATTAAAGGCATTTAATAATTAATGAAAGTTACTAATTTATGTTTATTTTTTATTTATTTTATTATTTAATGGTTTTAGTCTTGAACATCTCTCTCTCTCTCTCTCTCTCTCTATATATATATATATATATATATATATATATATTAGAAACATCAGAATCGCACATATATAACAATTTTGTTTTAATTTATACAGATCTTAATAATTATAAACAACAAAACATAAATTTGATTTTACTAATTATCAGATATTATAACTGTAGAATTGTTACAATTATTGTGTGTTGCAATGGAGAAATGTAGGAATTCAGGCGAGCAGCATAAACAGTTTCCCATCCAGCAGACCGTGATGATCTGTTGTGACGCCAAAGTGGTAAAATAGTAGGCATTGGATATCCTCCATGTAAATCAACCTTCACATAATGATCACCTCTAACAAGAGCAATAACAACAACTCTATGAGTTGAGATGTCTTGGGGACCAAGCCATAGTGGAAAACATGTTGACGGACTATCTTTGCTTAGAAAAATAACTATTACATTATACTTGTTAGCAATGAGAAAGCTAGTGACCGGCATAATCAACCAATGATCTGTTGGTGCGAAATGTGATCCATTGAAATTCAATGAGTGGTGTATGGTGTTTAAATCGTAATCAAAAATCTGTGCGTACTCAGCTGGGTGTGCTAACAACTCATTCTGTAAATCTAAGCGGATTTGACGCCAATTATCTTCACTATAACCGAGACACGCAGCTATTGCACGAAATCCACAATTTCCATCTCCCCTCACGTTTTGTATGTTTGTGACATATGGATGAAATTCATACGGAATTTCATTCATAAGTGGATCTGAATTATACATTACTTGTTCTTGGTTGAAGTACGAGCTATGCATCGATTGTTCCTGATTAAAAGTTGAGTTGAACATTGGAGGTTCTCGGAACGAGTACGTACTGTGCCTATCCGGCTCCTGGTTTAGATCAAACAAATTAGACCGCATATAATCAGGCGTATAAGTAGAAATGCTACGTCGAGACGGATATTGAGTTGGTGGCGCTTGAGTCGGTTGATCTTGAGGTGGTGGATGTTGAGTTGGTGGGTCGTGGTTTAAATCGATATGGGTTTTCTTGAAAAGTTTCTTCTTTAAGGAGGGGCGCCCACGAGTATTTTTGTGAGTAGCAGGTTCAGAAACTGAAGTTGTTGACGGCGTGATTAAGTTTAGTAACTTCCTTGCTAAACTTAACTTAACAGGTCTTGATTGTTTTTCGTAATGAGCATTAAACATATTTACCTCAACTGCACAACCCAATTTATCATCTTCTAACGATTTGCATTCTAATAAATCAAGTTTCTTCCAAAACTTATCTACTGAATGAAGCGGTACACAATGACCTTTTTTAACAAATATAGCTTGTTCATGCGCACATGGCAGCCCATAACTTGTACGTACTTGACATCCACAATTTTCATAAACAAATCCAAATTCTTTGGACCGCTCATATTCTTTGAAAATGATATCAAGTGCATAAATTGAAACGAAACGACACAATGGTTTTAGATGTGGTATTTCGTAGTACCGATGTACAATGAAAATTTTGTTATGCGCAAGACTCGCTTTTATACCTGTGTATTGTGACTCAACAACATCAGCAATACGCTTCAATGATTTGGCGATATCTGATCTTGATGTTTCGACATATCTTTTTAACTTGGCATGTTGACTTTCAGCTCTATTAGTTGTGTGATTGCCAAAGTTAAGAAACTTATCGGTCCATGCAGACACAAACTTTTCTTTGTGTGGTGTCAACCATGTTTTGTTTAGATAAGAAAATGCATCTGAAATACATAAAAAATTTCAGTTGATGTAATGATTTATAACATATTATAGTGTATATTTAAAAATACCTGGATAATTGTTCGTAGTTTTTTCAACTTGTGCCAAATTCTTGTTGTATGCTTCCTTTGTTTCAGAGTTAACCAACCTCGTCCATGACGTATAAAGAACATCCCAACATGATTTGCATTTCTTCATGATATTGTTATTTATATGCCATCTGCAAAGTAATCCTTTAGCATCTGGAAATATAATAGTGTATGCGTTCATGAGAGCCATTTCTCTATCAGTCACAATAACACGCGGCAACATACATCCTTCCATTACCGATTTTAGACAGTCTAAAGCCCAAACATAGTTGGATTGTTTTTCTTCATGCATGTACACAAATGCAATGGAAAATGTCATATTTGTTGGAGTTACACCAACAATCTCCAATAGAGGCATCCCGTACTTGTTTGTTTTATATGTTGCATCCATTAACAAGACATGTGGAAATGCACGCCATATTTCTAATGATCTTGGATGAGCAAAGAATAAATCTTCTAACTTATTTGTCAAAACATTTGCACGACTATAATAAACATATCCATTTTGATCTAGAAATTCCATAACACCTTGCATTTGAGTTTTACCTTCTCTCTCCCTACGTCGAAGTTTTTCGTCTGCATTGTAGATAGTTTTGAGAGTAGATACATTTTTCGGATTTAGGTTTTTTAGTGCAGATAATATATCTTTTGGTTTGACATTTTTTTTCAACAAATCTTCCACTATTCGACATTCATATTCAGTTAGTCGTCGTGGATAAGGATGACCTTCTAAATATAATGACGGCTCATGGTTATGAAATTCACATATCATTTTTATCTTCCAAGAATTATCTACTGACGAATATTTACCCTGTAGGCTAAATGGACAATTAATTTTTTTTGTCCCTGTTTTTTTTTTTGGAGATTTGTGTACTTTTGTATGTACCTCCACGGTCACATTGAAATACAACATTAAAGTTACGTTTAGAATTTTTATGACGATGACATAACCTAAAGTATTTGCCATATTTTGCACCCAATCCATCAATTCTTGACGAGAATTGAACACCTGACAATTATATTATTATCAGTAGCAGACAAATCCACTTGATGCTTACATTACAGTAACAACATACTAATGAATTTATACCTTATTTGTTTTGAAGGGTGACGTGTCATCAAAGAAATAACGACTTTCGTTCAAACTTTCATTTTCATATGTTTCATTTGTGTCCATTGGATGAATATCCGTTTCGAATGGTGATGTGTCGTCGAAAAAATAGTTACTTTCATTGAAGCTATTATTTTCATCTATTTCATTTGTCTCCATTGGATGAATATCATCTCTCTAAACATAACAAAGAGAAAAAAAATATATAATAATAATAATAATAATAATAATAACAATAATAATAATAATAATAATAATAATAAGAAAGGTTAAGTACAAATACCTCATAATATGTGTCACCCATCCATTCTTTCCAACTTGTCATTTAATAAAATCTATATTTTTAACAAATATCATATATTGCTTTTAAGGAAACTTACTTTCAGCAAGTCGCTTTCAATGTACCATATAAGAAATACGAATCCTCTATATATAGAAAGAAATTGTAACCAAATTTTTATTTTTATCCCTTCTATTTTTGTTAATGTTTCATAGTTTATATTTCTTATTTAACAAATTAATTTTTTTCTATTAATATTTAATAATATTCATTATTACTTTTTTTATAAATGTATTCATGAGATCATTTTAATTAAACAACTTTTATGAATAATTAATATGTTTCTACTTGTTAGTTTTCAAAATTAATAAAGTTTTAAGGGTTTAAGATTTAAATTGATAAAATCTAGGGTCTTTTCTAAAACTACAATGTAAACCGAAGGTATAAAATTGTAATATTATATTTTATCGATAAAATAATTCGGCACACATATTAATCGGCACACATATTTATCGATAAAATAATTCGGCACGCAATTCAATGCAACAAATACACGAAAAATTCGTGTATATAGGAGGACCCTGAGTTTTTAATATATTTTATCATTTTTCATTTAATGCCTCTTATTTTCTATTAAAGTAACAAAATCTACCTTCCACTTTCCACTTTCCACTTTATAGTTTTTATTTTACTGTTTTGTTTATTGATTTGTTTTATTAACTAAACTTATTATATATATATATATATATATATATATATATATATATATATATATATATATATACTAAAACACATGGTTATTATTATTATTATTTTCAACATTATCTCTTTTTAATGATTGAGAATTTTAAAGTGTTCAACACCAACTAAAAAATGTTATATATATATATATATATATATATATATATATATATATATATATATATATTAAAATAAAAAATGATGATAAAGTATGATCATCCCCATCGAGGGTTTTATGATTAATAGGTTAAAAGTGGTATTATAACATTGAATGGAATAAAAATGCATTATAGCTAGAATGTAATGAATGAGAAGTTCAATCCCCATTGAATCATGTATAACCAATAGTAAAAAATAATATATTTAAAATTAAAATTAATAATATAATAAAATATAATATAATTAATTAGGAAAACGTTAGAGTTATAAAACATAAAAAAAAAAAAAAAAATTATTGACTAATATATATTAAATGGTTTATAAAAACAAAAGAAAAAAAGTTTTCTAATATGATATATTTATACGGTGATGGTTGATAGAAAACAAATAGGAAAGAGTTATAAATTAAAATAAAACTTTTTTTTAACCATATAACAAAAAATAATAAAGTTTAAAGTAAATACTATAAAACATTAAGGGTGTATTTTGAAAAATCTTTGCAAGTTGAGGGACAAATTAATTTTATCTTGTCAAATGTCATATCTGACCTTTATATACGAATCCTTCGTGCATATAGGAGTACCCAAATTTCCATCGTCAAAATCATTTATTCAAAATTGATGTGACGATGACATAACCTAAAGTATTTGCCACATTTTACACCCAATCCATCAATTCTTGAGGAGAATTGAACACCTGCCAATTATATTATTATCAGTAGCTAACAAATCCACTCGATGCTAACATTATTGTAACAATATACTAATGAATTTATACAATATCCGATTTGAATTGTGATGTGTCATCGAAAAAATAATTACTTTCATCTGCTTCATTTATGTCCATTGGATGGATATCCGTTTCGAACGGTGATGTGTCCAACCCTAAAGACTTAAGGTGCTTATATATGGTGCAACACCCTAAATTAGGGTTTCATTAGGTCACACGTAAGCTTCGTATGAGATTTCCTATTTTGATTTAACGGTTCTTTTGTCATTTTTAGGTTTTTCTAATACATATTAAATTATGATTAATTTTACTTAAATAATGGTTTTAGCAATGGGTTAAAAAAGTTATAAATTGATTGATGTTAATAATATGAATTTTAAAAATAATAAAATATATTATTAACGTTTTGATGAAAAATAAATTTATTGAAAATGGTTAGAATACATACCTTAACATTTTGATTGATATTATTTTGAATATATATTTTTAAGATTTTTAGTATTTATTTTTATATGTGTATTTCATATAAAGTTGTTGAAATTAAAAAGAATAAAAATTAGAAGAGTTTGTTTTGTAACTTACATCTAATTGAAAGGGAATAAAATGTAAAATATAAAAACAATTGAAAATAAAGAATCGAAAACAAATATGATGATGGGATTGATTGTCTACTGATTGCTTATACACGAATAAATTCGTGCTAATAGGAGCACCCTTTACTTTTTTGTGGTGTAAAAGGCGTGAAAAGATACAAAAACGTATCTTTTGCCCATCAACTTTTCAAGCCTTATGTAAAAGTCATTTAAAAATATATTTTCGAATTACCAAACAACTTTTGGGACTTTTTGACTTTTTGGAGAAGTCAAAAGTCTAAAAGTTGTTTCAAAAGGAAAAACAAACACCCTCTTAATCAACTATTTTAAATATATAATTTTAAATAAATTATTAGTTAAGAGATATATCAAAATTTTAAGGGAAATTGAGTAATCTAACCTTATAAACGATCTTTTTGACAAAAATGATCAATTTTTATTTTTTTGGTAAAGTAACCACATTCTCCGAAACACATTGTTCCGGAGAGGTCTCAAGAATACCGGAGTATGATTTCGGAACATGGTTCCGGAATACATTTGACTTTTTTTTATATAAAATGTAATACATAGTTCCGGAACACATTGTTGCGGTTGAGTATTATCAAGTTATTGGGTTGTTTGTTGGCAATTGTGGGATACCGAGTGGTCTCTTGAGTTTTCTTTATAAGATTCATTGATTTCGAAGTGGTTAGAGGAAGCTTAAGGGGTATGTTGGCGTTCTTTTCATAGATTCTAACCAAGACGAATTTCGAGGACGAAATCCAGTTTAAGTGGGGGAGAGTTGTAACATACGGTTTCGAGAAGTTTTGTTATTTCAGGATTGTGGACAGTAAATGGATAAAGTAAAGACCTTAGGCTTCAAGGGACTAGGATTTAGAACCTATTGGATGTTGATAATATTGGTTATGTGATCTAAGCCTTGGTTTTGTGTTTTGGAGTCAAAAGGGAAAGTGGAAAAAGTGATGTTTCGGGCTTCCTTTATGGATTATGGTTTTTAGTTCGGCATGCGTTAAGCCAAAATTAACTAGATAGAAGGCCCGTCAATACCTTTTCGTGGATATAAGGATCGCCGAAAATGGAGTTGAAACGAAGAAGTTATGATTATTTGAAGCTGGAAAGGATTTGAGCGAAAACCGTCACCACGGAGTGGTGTGACGGGACCACGAGGTGGTGGTCACCACGGCGTGGTGAGTCGGACCACGAGGTGGTGGTCACTACAGAGTGGTGAGTCGGGACTACGAGGTGGTTATCTGTCAGGCCCAAGCCCATGATTTTAGGGGTTTTAACGTATTTAAGCTTAATGTTCCTCATTTTTGGGTATTTTATCAGCATCCACCACCTCTAACACCCCTTGGGAGAAACCCTAGCCTCCACCTTCAAGATTTGAGCCCATCCTCTCTTATCTCTCCTATTTTGGATGCTTTTTATGATATTTAGATGAAGCATAAAGATTAAGGAAGTTCTTTTGGTTGCAAGGAATGATGTTTCAAGCTTGGATCCATCAAAGGCACAACATTTCTATACTATTGTAAGTATAAAGTTCCAATCTTGCTCTTTAGTTCTTTAGATCTCTTCATATGTGGTTTTTAGCACTTTTGGTCCATTTTATGAGTGATCTTGGAGTTGAGTGGACTACAACACCTTTTGATTAGTTTGGAGTGTTTCTTGAACCTCATGGACTAGGAAAGTTGTGATCTTTTGCCTTTCCTTTTAGCCATGCAAGTTATCTTGGTCCTTTAGGTCATTTTGGTGCAATAAAGTTTAGATCTTGAAGGATTGTGACATTATTATGGATAAAGTTGAAAACTTTATCCATCTAGACATTTTGTTGATTCATATATGAAAGTGGGAGACTTTGACTTAATCGATTAAATTGAGAAGGATGCATTTTTGGGTCCCTTTAAGACTTAAAGTCTAGATCTTGGTGGTTTGGACCATCTTAATGGATAAAGTTGGAAACTTTATCCATCATGAAGTCATTAGAAATCAAATCTATTCTTCTAGCTTTGGTCCTTATGAATTAAGTTCTTTTTTTAAGAAAAGCCTTTCAGACTGAGGACCACGACGTGGTGACGGGACTTATTGTGTTTGATTTGTTTGGCCGTGCCCACTGCGTGGTAGAAGATTTTGAACAGAACTGGATTGAGTGGCCATGGCATGGCCATGGGTTGGCCACGACGTGGGTGCCAACTGGATTGATTGTGACTGTTGACTTTTTGACCAGTTGACTTTTGGTCAACCTTGGGTAGCATGGAGTATTTGACTAAATTTTGGTATCGGTTCGGATTTAGGAAGCTTCGGTTGGATGATCTGTTACTGAGGTAGTTGTGAGCTTCTGTTGAGTAGTTCGGGTGAGTTTCCTTCACTATACTCGTAGGTCGAAGACACCAATGTCGGCCCTCTAGATTATGTTGGTAGGATAATAATTACTTCGTGACTCTTACTGTTATGATTATATGCTAGCTTATGTTAAGTAGTTCAGGTGAGTTTCCTTCACTATACTAGTGGGATCCATATATGCTTGTTGTCTATGTGACTCTTACTGTTATGATTATATGTAACATCCATAAAATTTGATCCAATTTAAAACTTTTTAAATCATTTAAAACCATTCAGTTATTACAGTTTGTTTTCAAAATAGTTTAAACATCAGAGTTCCCAAAAATCAAAATCATCAATCGAGGAAGTGTACAGTCACGCCTTCGCCTTCCCGCGGCCATCCGCTGAACCTGAAACTGTAAGCCCGAAAGCTTAGTAAGTTACCCCCAAAATACCAACCTCATATAACCATAATCATATCATATCAACAAATATAGAACATGC